TTTATTTAACAATCCCACTTCTGACACCAATTGTTACGATTATCCTCGAAACCTTGAGGGATTTCCCAAATATACTCGGGCTCGTATCGCTGGATTGTTAAATAAATGCTAACGATGACCAAATTGTAGTACAATTAACTTTATTGTACAACAAACAATTTACAATACTTGCTAATACAGTAAAAACACTTTACAATACTTGTTAAAGCAATAACAACGCTTTACTACTTGTTAACACAATTAAACTTATAGCTTGCTTATTCGCAACTCGCTTCTCTGCTCACTTTACTTGTAGCTTGCTATCTTGTAACTAACTAACTTCGCTGTGGCGGCGCCCTTATATACCTGCGCTGGCACTTATGGCAACTCTAGAACATTCTGAAGTTTATCGCTCATTCTCTTTCTCTCGCTGTTCGCAGTGTTCATCCAACTTGACGTTTCTCTTTGTGGAACATTCTACGTCATTCCTCGAACATTCTGCCTATTTCTCGTTGTTCGCTTCAGAGAACGTTTAATTTGCGATTTTGCGACGTTTGATTTTTGCGACCCAAATGCCGACGGCAAATCACCAATGAGTTTGCATATTTGCATAGCTTTCACATATTTAATAGATACAAAATCTACATTTTGGAGTTAAAGCATTCCCTGGCATATATTTTCGAAAATTAATTTTCATTAATTTAACTAAGAATTTTAATCTTTTTTTTTATTAAATCAATGCCGCGATAAAGAAAATCCAAACCAAAGTACTTAACATTGATACAAATTAACAAATTCGTATCTCCGCTCAGCTCTGTAAACTTGCCGCTCAGATCTGTTAATTTGCCGCTCTCAATTTTCGATTCGAGTGGTGAGCTTCTAGAGCGTTTTTGGTAGTGTTTGACAATTCACACGGCTATTCGTAATTGCAGCTTCTCTGTATTAAACGTTCTCTGCAGCTTCTCTGTATTAAACGTTCTCTGACTTAGTAAGTTTCTCTCCTCGCTTTCTCCGCGTTTGCTGCAACAACAATTGCACGCAGTTTGCCTAACTAAGGTCGGTGTTATGCAGACNAAAATTTATAAATTACTTTGTAAATTAAAGAGATTATATAAATTTGCTTAAATTTGAGTGCATTAAAAAGAACTACTTATAATAATAAAATGAACTTATTAATTTAAGCGTATGAATTATATATACATATATACATACACTTGCATCCACTTGAATAGCGACAGGCAAAATCTGAATTTATTTTTTATATGGAAAAATTAGATTCGGACTTTGTTTGTCACGTTAGAAGTGCAAAGAAGAGAAACTGGCTATAACAAAACAAAAGATATTCGTTTAAATTGACAACTCATACTTATAAAAGTTCAACTGAGATCAAATACGGAGGCGCATATCAAAATCCGGACAAAGGAAATTATTAACATTTTACCATATTATAAGAAAACGAATAAAGTACTGGTCAGAATAATAGCACCACAACATTTTATCAGTTTTGACTATTTTTTTTGTTTGTTCAGTGTCTACTACTTTTTTATAAAAGTTGTGCAAAACATAAAAAACTACAAAATCATTCAAATTTCAAGCTTTTTGATTCGAATTTCTATAAAAATTTTGTATAAGTAGTTGTATGGCTTATTAAATTTTACAATAACTCAGTGTAAGCCTATAGTTGCTAAAAATTCCATTGGAATCAACAAATGAAACTTGGTCAGGGTGTTAAGGGAGGTATCCTCTAAAACATGTATAACTAGAAAATATAAACAATATCATTGTTTATAAGTTATTTGTTGTTAAAATTTCTTAAGTCGTTCCACTTGATTTCCTTAACAAAAAGTGCATTTGTCTCATACTTTCATATATATAAATGCACATAACACTGTACTTTATACTTTACACACTTTTATTTTATTTTATCTTGTATATAAATCACTTTAATTCAACTTTTATTGACTTGTAAATTACATTGATTTGCACCAATATTTACAATAACACATGGTTGCAAACTGACACATAACATGTGTTGCTATATTGTACAAAACAACACATACAAAGAAGGCAATGCTTAATACGTGCAGAATACGTACATTTCTCTGATTGGAAAAATTTATATTGGGATGGATAGGGGTCTTAGTCCTGTTTATAACCATAATAGTAANAATCGTCGTGAAAGGTACTGAATTAAAACGCTCAATTGCTTGAAAATTAAATAATTAATAAATGTATAAAATTTATAAATTACTTTGTAAATAAAGGAGAATTCTATTTGGTAAGGGTTATAATCCTAAAGCGCAAAAGGAGAATTCGACTAAGTGAAAATTCCGAATTAAAAATCCGCTTTTATTATTCAAAATTCCAGTCTGGCAGCACCAAGTTTGATGTTATTTTGCTATCTTATTCATCGTTTATACGACAAATTTAACAAAAACTTATATAAGAACTATAGGGTTGCTAGAAAAAAGAGGGATTTTTGGAATCAGGGGGTCCTATTNCAGCACCAAGTTTGATGTTATTTTGCTATCTTATTCATCGTTTATACGACTATAGGGTTGCTAGAAAAAAGAGGGATTTTTGGAATCAGGGGGTCCTATTCTATCAACCTCCAGCCGACTGTATTGTTAATTTTCTTGGTAAAAAAAAATAATGTAATGTTAAGAGATGTTAAGAAGAGAGAAGTTTCGCTAAAACCGATATCGATAGTTTTCAAAAACTATCGTTAGTGGGGACAGTTTTCAACTATCGATATTATCGATATTACTATCGATAGTATCCCACCTCTAAGTACTGGTTTGGAAAAGTGTCGGGTAATATCTCCGAATTGGGGTAGACTTATTGGGCACTCGACGTTCGAATGGAGATTTTTACGTTTAAAAAATTCTTCAATAAAATGTGTCTTATAAAAATGAAAAACTGGACAATCGCATAATTGTGATTATGACCAGCGGCGATGGCGCTCTTCACTAAAGCGAACGGGGTGAGGGCGCTGCTATGTCTGGTCGGGATGTGGGTGCTATTTAGTGCGTTCCTGAGCTATATAGATAATAAAACTGCAAATTACTCAACATTTAGTAGACTTAGGTAAGTTTGCTTAACACCCACATGCCGCCTATATTTCGTTAAATTATTACATCGAATATCCTACTTCTATAGCATTCGACACATGCATAAGTTTTCTAAAGTGGTCAACACTTCCAGTGATGCTCTAAACGACCAAATCCATAGCGCAAATGAAACTTTTATTTCTGGTAACAACCCAACACTTCCTGATAACGAGATTCAGTGGAATAGTTCATCAATAAACCAGAAGAACATTTCCATTGAAAGTCGCCAATCAACCAGCGATTTACTGCTTGGTGAAAAGATACCAATTAAAAGACAATACTCGGGTTCTTTGAATATAAAATGTAAAAATCCAATATACGATGAAAGTAAGTAGTTCATTCATTGATTCTTTCCAATTATTAAATGTCAGACGAAAATTAACAAAATAACTAATTTATAGACGATGGACCAATAACGCCGAATACCACACTTGAGTCGTTAGACATTGTAGAGGCTGATTTGTCTTCTTTATTAAAGCCGGGTGGAAACTTCCAGCCACATGACTGTATTCCAAAGGATCACGTTGCAATAGTGATACCATTTCGCGATCGTTACGCTCATTTAGCCGTTTTTCTTCGAAATATTCACCCATTTTTAATGAAACAGCATATCGCTTATCGAATATTTCTTATCGAACAAACTAACGGGAAAGCGTTTAATCGTGCGGCACTCATGAATATTGGCTTCTTAGAAGCCTTGAAAATGTATCCCTGGGATTGTTTCATCTTCCATGATGTTGACTTATTACCTCTGGATAACCGAAACTTATACACATGTCCGCGACAACCGCGTCACATGTCTGTTTCTATAGACACATTAAACTTCAAGTACTTGTATAGATTACACTAAGAGATATGCATATTTTCACAAAATAATTGCTTTTAATCTTAAAATTACATTAGGTTGCCTTATCGCTCAATCTTTGGTGGAGTATCAGCAATGACACGGGAGCACTTTCAGCTAGTAAACGGCTTTTCGAATTCTTATTTTGGTTGGGGAGGAGAAGACGATGACATGTCAAACAGGTAATAATGTTTACCTCAACAAAAAA